ATATTGAAAGTTAGCTACGACGGTCTAGAAGACAGAGAAATACAAAACATATTTCTTGATATTGCTTGTTTCTTCAAGGAGCAAGATAAAGATCACGTGACCGGATTGCTAGATGGTTGTTATCACGCTGCGTCTTATGGGTTAAGTGTTCTCGATGATAAGGCACTTATAAATTTAAGAAGGAACATGATTGAGATGCCAGATCCGCTGCAAGAGCTTGGTTGGGATATTGTCATACAAGAATGCGAGTCAGAGCCTGGGAGAAGGACTCGATTGTGGAGACCTGATGATGTTCACCGCGTTCTCAAAAGGAATAATGTAAAAAGAAATGCCACCATTCATTCCTTAGTATGCAAGTTTATGTCATTTTTCCTTCTGGCCCCCTTTATATTTCAACATGGTAAGAATGCTTTGCACTGACGGCAGTTTGGCTCTTTACAGGGTACAGAGGCAGTCAAAGGAATATACTTGGATTTGTCAAAAGTAATGAAGTTGGACATAAAACCGGATGTCTTCGAGAAGATGTACAATCTCAGACTCCTTAAATTCGATAACAGCAAAGGGGTAAACACTAAAGTGTGTCTGCCACATGGCCTCGAATCTCTTCCTGATGAGTTAAGGTACTTATGTTGGCCTGAATTTCCACTGAAGCACCTGCCCTCTGAATTTTGTCCAGAGAATCTTGTTGAGCTTGACATGAGACATAGCACTCTTAACAGGCTCTGGAGCGGTGCTCAGGTAGATGGAACATTCTTTTTGTTTGAATAAAAAGTAATCAATCGATCTTGAAGAGAGTAATCTGACCGACTATCATGTATCCATGCAGAACCTGGGTAGCTTAAAGATTTTAAATTTGGACTGGTCAGAGAAGCTGAAAGAATTGCCCGATCTATCAGGGGCCCAAAATCTTGAGCGGATTGATCTGTATGGATGCTGTCAGATTGATGAATTCCCTAAGATCCCAAAAAACATACAAGAAATAAATATGGGTGGGACCGCAATAAGAGAAGTGCCTTCTTCAATTCAACATCTCTCCAGACTTGTCAAACTCAATCTATTCCATTGTAAGAGACTCGAGAAGCTTCCAGATACTTTGAGCAATCTAGAAAGCCTTGAAGATCTGACTCTATCAGAAAGCAGAAACATAAAAAGGTTACCAGCCCTTCCGAGGAAAATAAAACTCCTTGACTTTGATGGTGTTGGAGTGGTAGAGCTTTCCCCCTCAATTGGTTCTCTCCACATGCTATCTCGTCTTGATCTTAGGTGTTGTGGGAACCTTATGTTTTTACCCAGCGACATTTGGAAGATGCAATCTCTTAAGTCCTTAAGTCTTTCTGATTGCTCAAAGTTGGAAGAAATTCCAGAAGTTCTGGAGAGTAACGAGTGCTTGAAAGAGATTATGTTAATTGTTGGATTTGGGTTTGTTTTGATAGAATCAAAACGGGTCTAGTCCGTGAGAAGCCCGGTAAATTTAAATCTGCAGAATATTAAGAGAATATTCTTATTTGAATTTGAAATTCAAATTCAAATTGGATTCAAATCCGCAGAAAATCTATCAAATATGATTGAGATAAGATTGAGATAATATCAAAATAAAATCAAATTTGAATTTTGAAATTCAAATTGATTTGTTTTGAGATTCTCCCCTCTACTATAAATAGGGGTCTTGGGTTAGCTCATAAAACACACACAGAAAAGAAACAAGCATTCTAGAGAAAAAGAGCATTCACATATTTGCTCATATCTCTCTCTGAGTTCGCTTGGTATTTGGAAAGCTTCTTCCAAATACGCGGTCGTTGTATCCTGGGAGTTCACCGTGCTCCAATAGCCTCGAAGCTTTAGAGGTGGCACGGAAATCGAACTTAAGGAAACTGTGTTTCACAGGCCTCGACAAAATAATTTTTTAATTTCAGGTACTTATCTAGAATCGCTCGAATTGCCGGAGTTTTGCCGTCGTCAACAACCGCCGTCCCCAACATTAAGCAGAACAGCCATAAGAGAATTGCCCTCTTCAATTGAAAGGCTTCTCAAACTTGAGTATTTGAAGGTTAACGACTGCCGAAATTTCTCTGTGCTACCGGCGACATTGTGGAATCTGGAAAAGTTAGGATCATTAGATTTTAGTGGAACAACCGTAAAACAACTGCCGCCCATTAAAGAGGAGACGACGAGGCTCACCGGCTTGCGTATTTCGGGATGTGATAGTCGAGACCCTGTGGCATTATCAGTTCCTCCCTTGTCGAGATTATGTTCTCTGACGACCCTTGAAATGTCGAATTTGCATATTGAGCAGATCCCTGAGGACATTGGTCGTCTGACATCATTGATAAAATTAGATTTGAGTCTAAATGACTTCAAAACTTTGCCTGCTAGTATCAAGCATCTTTCGAACGTGGGAAGTCTGGACCTAAGCTACTGCAGGGGGCTTGAATCATTGCCAGAGGACATTGGTTGTCTAACATCGTCGCGGAGCTTAAATTTGAGAGGAAATGACTTCAAAACTTTGCCTGCTTCTATCAAGCATCTCTCGAACCTGGGAAGTCTGGACCTAAGCTACTGCAGGGGGCTTGAATCATTGCCTGAGGACATTGGTTGTCCAACATCATTAAAAGGAGAAGAAATACCCAGTACTTTGAAATACGCTATGTAAAAAGATACAAATTCACCTTCTGTCCGGCGGCCCATAGCCACCGCGAGGACTACCCCGGCGACCATCATGCCCGTTATCGTCCCTCCTGCGCTTATAAGGCGGAGACCGGCGCGGAGGAGGTGAGTACCGTCGGTCTCGGTAAGGCGGCGGACTCAAGCTCGTCCGCCTCTTATACTCCCTCCGCGGCCGCGGGAGCGGCTGCGACGACGGCTGAGAAGAAGACGCCGGAGGAGAAGGCGGCGGAGAAGAGGTGGACATCTCCGGAGGTTGACAGTCGACGGAGTCGGTAGGACCGCCGGCAACATCGGCCATTGGAGAACACAAACGGAACCCTAGATGGAGTTGGGAAGCTTTCTCGAAGCTTTCTTCCCCCCCTTTTTTGTTCTGTTACTCGTCTCTGAGGTTTCCTTTTTTCTGGAAAAGAAGCTAAACTGGACTGGAGTGGAGAAATCGAAAAAACCCGAAACGGGTATTAATTAATTAACCCTCTTTGATTCCGGGTCGGGTTCTCTCAAATTGGGCCTAATAAAGGCCCAAAAATATAAATTATTTCAAAAAATTAACTGGGCCCATTGTAACCTCTGATTTCGGGTCAGGGAGTTATTAAAAATTAACTGGGGGTCAAAATATAAATTGTCCCAAGAAACACGTATATACGAAACCCTTTAACTTTTTTTCTTTTTTTTTGGTTAACGGAAGGTTCACCTGAGTCTTCGGCCTAACCTACATTTCTGGGTTCGGAAATAGCCCCGTTGAGAGAGACCCTACGAGCCACACCCCTCGAACGATAAATACATCCCTTCCTCCCCTTCAACTGTAATGTGATTCTTTTTCCATAAAGGAAACATGATTCTGCGTGGACTAGTGGTTCTTCATGCAGAAAGCTACGTGCATTGCGATATAAAACCCGCCAACGTTCTCGTGTTTCCATCCAAGACGGCGGGAGAGACATGCGAGCTGAAGATTTTCGATTTCTTGCATGCAGAAGGCTACGGCAGTCGGAGGAGGTCGACGTGTCCCGGAACGGCCGAGTATATGCCGGCCGAGTCGATGGGACCCAAGCCTCTCGGAGCTTGGGCTATAGACATATGGTCGTAGGGTGCGTGGTTCTTGGGAAGTCACACTTTTTCCAATTTTATTGTAAACAATGGATCATTTTGGACAGTTCCTATATGGAGATTTGAGTTTTCTCAATTATGTATACCTGCATATTGAATTATATTTTTACTGTTTATATTATTGGATATATAGATATATATATAATGGATTTGACTTTCAATCGCAAGTTCATGCAAAATCCAAGAATACCGTAAAACCTGCAACCAAACAGCCATTGTACTACGTCTTTTCTTTTCTTTTCTTTTTCTTAAAGAAAAGAAAACACAAAAGTATTTTTATCGCCAAAGACCCACTTCGTGACTGCACTTCGTCGACACAATCCTCGACTTTCTTGTCAGATTGTCCACCGTTAAATCACAGTTTATTTTAACGTTGACCGTTCCCAACTTAACGGAACCCACTTCAATCCCCACAGGAACTCTGATCCTCAGTTTAAACAGCACCGTTTTCTTGCCCTGCCAGTCTATCATTTCCTTCCGCATAGACCTCGTCAGCTGCATCTTCTCTCCCGTTACCGCCGTCTTAAACACCGTCACGTTTTTCGCCGGTTGGTAAAACGCCGGTAACTTGCCGTTACAGAGATCGAGATCGTTGTAATAAACGTCGACGGAGCTTCCTTTCTCGTAGTAAATCCCGATTTTTCCGTTACCGTTTTGTGATCTGATGGTAATGTCAACTCTCGGCGAGATCGGGGACGGTGACGTCACGTTGAAGCCTGAGATCGAGACCCCTTCGACGGAATACCGCGGCACTTCGGGACGGTAGACGAGGTAGAGTACGGAGGCGGAGATCCCGGCGAAGACGGTGAGGATGAGAATTCCAGCGACGAGGGAGCAGAAACAGCAGCGGCAACGACTGCGATTCGGTTTTTTCCGGGAGAGATATTGGAGGCGGTGAGCATTCTCCGGCGGTGGAACGCGGTAGATCTGATCCTTGGGGACTTGTATAACGAAAGTTCCCGGGGGAGGGGAGGAGTAGGTTTTCTCGGGAATTCGCCGGAGCTGAATTGGCCGGAAAACTGGTCCGAGGCGAGGCTCTCAGGCGGTGAATCGGCAGGATGGATTCGCTCCGCCATATCGGAGAATAAGAGCTCAAACAGTAACTGCAAAATCTGAAATTAGTGTTTATGAAAAAAAAAATTGAAATCTGATTTTACAAAAAAAAAAAAAAAAAATCAGTGAACGGAATCTGATAGAAGCGGTTATGCGGAGAAGCATTTATATGATAGCCCGGGAACTGAGCTGGCAATGCCGCGTGGACAAAGGGTTTTAAAAGGGAGCAGCAACTGTAGGGCCCACTTGAAATCCAGCGATATTTTTGTTTTGCAAAATTTAAAAAAAAAAACAAAAAAGACAGCCGTAAATGGAGACGTGATTGCATGAATCTGTCCAAACCAAAAGTGTATTCCGTGGGAAACCAATTTCTCTTATTGTAATGAATTATTAATTATTATGTTGATAATGATGTTGGAAATTGAACTTTGTTATTTAAGTTAGAATAAATTAACAAATCATCGAGAATACAAAGAATTAAGGCATGTTATACAAAAGTGTGTGATTTTATTCATTTATAATATTTTTAAATCATTAATTTGGACAGATTTATATACACAGCCGCCTTGCAACGAAAAAGGAAAAAATGTATACATGCATTGAAAAAAAAATGAATTGGTAATCTAGATACAAGTGCTTGCATATGAACTTAATAAGTACAATAAATTCGGAGATAATTAGATCTAATTTTCTTGCAACAAATTTTTTTCTAGGATGAATATGCGAATTTCCTTCCGAATTCATATTTTCAAAACCGTGGGCCGCCCGGTTATAAATAAATCTTGATAAAAACCTATATATTCAGTTGGAATGTAACAGGACAGTTGGAATAAAACGTATCAAATATAAATATGATTATATGCTTATTATTTTTGCAGAAAATCATAATAATAGTCAGAGAATAAATGTTTTTTGAACTATATAATTTTTGTTTCCGATTTACAGGATTACAGCCAATTACCTTGGAAGAAAACGCCGTTTGTTTTGTTCCCCGCTCATGACAACGCACATTCATAAACACTAGCATATAATGATAAAATAAGAAAATACAATACAATATAATACTATATTATACATGGAGAATACCATACTAATTACACATCACAATCGTAATGTTAATACAAAGGTTAAGCCATGGTTTGAAAAAACATGGAACCGAGTTAAAAATTGGTTAAAACCTGAGCTGAAATGACATTTTGATCCGAATATTCACATCTCATACCTCCCCGGACTGGAAAACATGCAAGTCCATCAAGGCTTTGTAATAACCCTTTTCAATCTCCTCATCTTTAACCCCGCGTAGAACGAGGGTCTCAATGATGAAATCCTCCCAATCGACATCACAAACCTCTCCCATCTTCCTCTTCTTCCCTCTATCCGCCTCGACATCGGTATCTGTGTCCGGACGAGGATGTCTTATCCGGTCGATATGCAACTTGGCCGCCTTTATTTTCTCTCTTCGTCTTTCCACTGCCTTGCAACCATTAATGTACGAAGGAGGCAGAGCCTCCAACCCCACATCTTTCTCCAATGCGTCCTTGAGCAAAAGCCTCTGGCTCATTTCTGATTTCCCTTTCCACCAATCATGATCATGAGAGTAATCCATCTCCAAACCCCTTCTCTTCGGCGGCCTATTGCTACTTTGACTTCGTTCCCCAGCAAGAACTTCATCCTTGAACTTGTTATACATCATAGCTAACCGCTCCACCGATATCTTACGGCCTTTGGAGTTATTCGAATGCGGCAGTTCGTTCCTACTTTCCCCTCCTACCTCCAAATTTTGCGATATATCATCTTGATCGGCAACACACCTAGTTTCTTTGCTTAGATTGTCCCTAACTACATCCTCCAATAAGAATGAATTTTTTTGTAATGGAATAGAAGAAGAAGAAGAAGAAGCATAATCCATGTCCCCGCCACGAACCAACTCGTCACCCCCTTTTCCCTCACGACTCTTTATCATAGACTTGGCCTCCATGTATCCAATTATCGACCCGGTGTGTTTCACAACATTCTTCATATTAACATCTTTCCCCCATGGCAAACCCTCTTGAGCAACTTTGACAAGCTTCTCCAATAGCTCCCTGTAGCGCTTTTTACAAGTGCTCAGCGCAACCTCAGCTTCTTTTGCCAAATCCTCAATCCTTATTTTCACACCATTCACTTCTGCAACAGTCACCAAAACAGCCACAACTAGAGGCAGTGGCCTCCTTCCGGTCGACAAGAACCACTTGAGAGAACAATTCATTAGAAAAACTCCTTGCTCCGTAATTTTCTCCTTCTTTTCCCTATCAACTCCGGTTAGCCTTGCATTATTCACCACCCTCATGAACAATCCCACAAGATCAAATTCTGGTAACTCCAATCGTAAATGCTCCACAACACGCTTGATCATGCTTCCCAACTCATACAAATCACAACCAACTGCAGCTGCTACTTCGTTCATAGGCAAAACATTCTTTGATTCTGTTCTCATCACAACATAACTACATGCACCGACCAAAACCTCAAACCAACTGCCCATCCCAAATTCTCCTTCGGTGATGTCTTTGATCCAATCCTTGATCTTATTGCATTTATCAGACACATTTAACCTCAATGTGATGTCTTCGATTACTTTGTTAGCTTCAAAGATTTTTTTATCTTTATAAGCAAGAACAGATCCTGTGCCGATGTATCCAACCCGGATATATGTACCTTGGGGCCCATTTAGGCCACCTAGTTGTGCATCATAGTTGTCGAACTCTTGTACTGTCCCACATTGGGAACAGATGATGTCCCCTGTATCTTTTTCCGGAACTAGATCACGGCTCTTGCATCTCTTGCAGGACATATCTGGAAGTAGTGGTACCTAAACCAAAAAATGTCACAACGACAGCAGATAGAAAAAATGAAGGCGACAAAGAATATTAGAAAAACAAAGCTTGATTGCTGCATCTCTCCAACCCCAAGGATGGATCCAAAGGACCCCTAACAGACAAATATAATTAAATGAGTATTAGTTCTACCGTAGCTCGAAATTTTTTGACTAGCACACTCTGCCACTAGGAATGTGCATCATATTCAACCAAAGATCATGAAAAACAGAATCCAACATGCTGTACAAGATACAGATATATTTTTCCAAGATCTAATACAATGTAATTTGACCAAATGCTTCAATTTCCCAACAATTGATCAATAAAAACTAGTAAACCAAATCCATGAACTGATAGCATACTAAAACATAGAACTGATGAATACAGAGATAGACCCGATTGCGGGTATCAGTGAATACATGTTTGAAACTAAATCATCAAACTGCAGCGACTCTAAAAGCAACAAACTTACGGAGACTCAAACATGAATTCCAAGCATCAAGGACAAACCTGCAGACCAGAGGACACAAAGCAAACCTCTACAGACATCAAAATCAACCAAGTGGTGCGCCTCACGGAAATAGATACGAGAGACAAAGACTAAGACGACAGATACACGAGGGACAAGATACACAGACGAAATATACACGAGCACGAACCTGGGAGAGATGAGACCGCGCCGAAGAGAGAGAAACGAATCGTGCCGGACAAAGAGAATAGGTCGACGGGAACGGAGCAGCGGAGACGCAGGTAGTGGACTCTGAGAGCGTGCGATCGACGGGCCAGCGGCTAGGGTTTTTCGATTTCACCGAGTCACAACAGAAGAAAAAATTGGAATGCTGATTAGAAAACCCAAATAATTTAAAAGGAATAAAAAAACTAAAAAAGGAGAGGAGGAAATAACAATGGTATAACAATAGAGGGGAAAAAATCTGAATGAAAAAAGGAGAGAAAAGAAATCTTTCAGCTAACCACACTTTTAAATGCAATTAAGCAACCTTGTTCAAGAACAAGATCAGAATTCTAATTGACATAGACAGACAACTGCGGCTGGGAAGCAAGGAAAAATTCAGTAGTAGATCAGTAGAACAGATTACCAATACACATAACACGGCAATTAATCTGGTCATTCTTACCATTCTATTTTCTGCTTAATTTTTTTCGTCATTTCTGTAGAACTTCCACCCACTAAAACTCAAACCTCGAGTCAAAATTATCCTTATTTACTTCAGAAATTATATGACAGGCATAGAAAAACTTGCATTTCAGACCAAACCATCAAGAACCCTCCAAAAGGAGAAGAAATACCCAGTACTTTGAAATACGCTATGTAAAAAGATACAAATTCACCTTCTGTCCGGCGGCCCATAGCCACCGCGAGGACTACCCCGGCGACCATCATGCCCGTTATCGTCCCTCCTGCGCTTATAAGGCGGGGACCGGCGCGGAGGAGGTGAGTACCGTCGGTCTCGGTAAGGCGGCGGACTCAAGCTCGTCCGCCTCTTATACTCCCTCCGCCGCGGCGGAAGCGGCGAACGCTCACGGTCCCTGTCATGCTCGTAGTAATCTCCGACGCCATGGCGATTCGGCGGTGGGCGGTCGATGTCCCCGTCGTTATGCCGTTCGTGAGAATCTCTCTCGCGGGGGCGAGCCGGCTGCTGGTCCTGCTGCGACGACGGCTGAGAAGAAGACGCCGGAGGAGAAGGCGGCGGAGAAGAGGTGGACATCTCCGGAGGTTGACAGTCGACGGAGTCGGTAGGACCGCCGGCAACATCGGCCATTGGAGAACACAAACGGAACCCTAGATGGAGTTGGGAAGCTTTCTCGAAGCTTTCTTCCCCCCCTTTTTTGTTCTGTTACTCGTCTCTGAGGTTTCCTTTTTTCTGGAAAAGAAGCTAAACTGGACTGGAGTGGAGAAATCGAAAAAACCCGAAACGGGTATTAATTAATTAACCCTCTTTGATTCCGGGTCGGGTTCTCTCAAATTGGGCCTAATAAAGGCCCAAAAATATAAATTATTTCAAAAAATTAACTGGGCCCATTGTAACCTCTGATTCCGGGTCAGGGAGTTATTAAAAATTAACTGGGGGTCAAAATATAAATTGTCCCAAGAAACGCGTATATACGAAACCTTTAACTTTTTTTCTTTTTTTTTTGGGTTAACGGAAGGTTCACTTGGGTCTTCGGTCCAACCTACATTTCTAGATCCGGAAATAGCCCCGTTGAGAGAGACCCTACGAGCCACACCCCTCGGACGATAAATACATCCCTTCCTCCCCTTCAACTGTAATGTGATTCTTTTTCCATAAAGGAAACATGATTCTGCGTGGACTAGTGGCTCTTCATGTAGAAGGCTACGTGCATTGCTAGGACTGGTTAGGACTTTGTTGGGGGCCATGTAGACTCGGTGTTATAGGTCTGATTAGACGTAATCAGGTCCGATTAGCCTTAAGTTAGGTCTGGTTAGACGTAATCAGGTCTTAAGGTAGGCTGTGTTTCGAGTCTAATAGGTCGGTTAGGCAAAATTATGCCTAGGGTAAGTCCAATCAGGTTTGTGCGAGAGTCTAAGAGGTCGGTTAGGTAGAAATATACCTTGTGTTAAGTCCAATCAGGTCTGGTCTAGAGTGTATTAGATCCGTTTAGGTAATACGTACCTAGGGAGATGTCCGGTTAGACTTTGTTTAAAGTCCGTTAGATCGGGTTTAGGTTGAGTGCCTAGGTTAAGTCCGGTCAGGTCGTGTTCTCTAGGTCTTGTAGGTCTGATTAGGTAGAGATGTACCTAAGTTTAGGACCGATAGACTAGAGTTTAGGACCTTTAGACTAGAGTTAGAGCGTGTTAAGCACGGCTAGGTAGAAATATACCTAGGGTTAAGTCCTCTAGGGTTCGGTCTCTTCCCTTAGGTCATGTTACATCACTTCTAGGGTCGGGTAAGTCTCTTCCGGGTAGAGTCGGTTTTAGACTCAGGTTTTATCGTCTTAGGATGATGGAATTAGATATTCTAGCTCGGTATACCCCGAAAGGGGGTATGGTGGAAGGACTAGGGGTCTCGGGCAAACCCGAGAAATCGGGTTGCAGGAGTAGGCCAAGGACCAGGTGGAGTGAGTTGTTCCGCGGGTAGGTTGGGATACTACATGGAGGATATGTAGATCCCGGATGACGAGGAAGGGAGAGTCCGAGGTAGAAGGACATATGACCTCGGAGGAGTAACCGAAGTTGCTTCGGTTCTCGGTGGTAGGTCAGGAGGTGAGGACTCCACATTTAGGTGGAGCTTCCTCGGGTAGGATGCTCAGGAGATGGTTTGAGCTGGGAGGTGTCGGGTCACCGGGTAGAGTCGGTGTAGGTTGGCGCTAGGAAACTCCCTCTCGAGGTGGAGCACGTGCACTCACGTGTCTCTTATTCTCGGTGGAGCATCGTAGATGACTAGGAGAGTCTTCACGGGACAAAACCGTGGGACAATCTTAGTTGGCAGGATAGGGTCCGAGGGTAGAAGTCGCATACTCATAGGTAGTATAGACTTTACGGGGATCCTGGGCTAGGTATCTAGCGGGTTTCGGTAGTATGACTCAGGTTAGTCTCGGGGAAAGTCGGGATAGATTTAGGAGACGGATAGACGTCGGGTATAATCCTCGGGTTAGCTAGCGGGTATAGTCTTGGACTTTACTAGGAGGATTAGTTAGACGGTCTAGGGAGTCATACAACCGAGGGTAGCGTTCGCCGATCGGGCAACGCGGGATAGGACTTCGGTTTGAGTCTTATCGGGGTGAACGTTCTAACACGTTTACCGAGTGTTTCAGGTATAGATGAGTTGATCGGTGGCGGGAAAAGGCGACGAGGCCACGAGGAGTCATCGACGGGAGCTTCATCAGGTTAAAAGGCAACGGCACATGACTAACACCGGGACAGGTAAGTCAGGTAAGTAAGGTAAGTTTGCTTTAAATTCCGACGAGAGTCGAAGGATCGACGAAAGTCGATCGGTGCCGGAATCGGCGAACCACTAGTGTTTATTATTTGTTATTATTTCCTTGCTCGTTCCTTTCTCCACCAAGGTGGAGATTGTTGGGCCCGCTCGGCCCAGCGGCCCGTTTTGGTGAAAAAGGAACTCGGCCTTTTTTGGCCGAAACGCAGCGTGTTATCCTAAGGGTTAATGAAACCCTAATGTTGGCGTGGATTGGAAGAAGCACGTGGCTCGAGGCGAAACTTCGAGAGAGAGAGAGAGGAAGACGATCGCAGAGGCGATCGTGAGAAGGAGGTAAGATCGCGACGGAGGAGGAGTCTTCCGGCGATGGAGAAGTTGGACCGGTGGCGGTCACCGAAGGTGAGTCGCGGAGAAGGTCGGTAAGTCTCTCGTCTCCTTGCTCGTGGTTTTCTCGGTGAGCCTCCGGTCTTGGTGTGGAGACCGCTGTGGTTCTCTCTTCTCTGTTGTATTTTCCGTTCTCTAGTGGATTCGTCGGACTCATTCCGGCCGAGATGTAGGCCCGAGATTTATCTCGGTAACCGAACTCGTAAAAACTCCGGTGTCTTTCGATTCTTGCACGAACGAGTGACGGAGGGAAACGGTGAGGACTCGATACACACTTCACATCAGCATCTCCTCTTGGTTATCCCTTTGAAGCCATCCGACAAGAACCCTAAACGCATCAAACTGACGGTTCTTCAGGGCGACGTGTACAACTGTCTCGCACTTGATCGTCAAATATTCGACGGAAGAAGGGCAAGCAGACAAGAGCTCGCTCAACAGGTTGAGTTCTCCTGTCTGAGCCGCGTAATGCAAAGGCGTCATCCCTCCTCTTCCTTTGATCCTTATCAAGTTACTATCTACGGTCATAAACCCTCTCACTGTCTGAAAAACGTTTGTTCTGTAGAGCCAAATGCATCGGGCTGAGGCCTGACTCGTTTAGCTTCTGAGCGTATTGGGGTTTCAAGTTCATCATCTCCATTGCGAAATGGGCATGCCCTTCTCGCGCTGCCACGTGGAGAGGCGTCTCACGAAACTCGGTTCGATCAAACTCGTCGAGAATGTTCCTGCTGTCTTTATTGGCAAGGCAATGGTACAGTGACTCGATATCTCCGTACTGAGCCGCAGAACCGATATTATCTTCATGATCCTTGGCCATTGTAATCGACGTCTCCTTCACGTTCATTCTGTTTTTTCATATATGGTTAGAAGATGTTGTTTTGATAATTGTGATCATTGCAACGTTCCTCTAAACGTCTTTTATACTTGGTGTAAAGGTCACCTTCTTTTCTTTTCTTTTTTTTTTTAACCTATTTCGTGTTTCCCTTTTGGGAATGACAAGTGATTCTGCATGTGCATGCATGGCCCTCCATTCTCTACATGAAATGTGAATCGCATTTTTCCTTAGATTTTGTAGATTTATTCATCAACAAAGAAGAAAAAGAAAAAGGTTATTGTCAATGTAATGTGTTTCGTATAACACAGAGTCGACCACCCAAGTTTGGGTGACATATTGATGAAAGAATATGCAAAATATGTTTTAATTTTGGGTTCAAATCCAAGTGTGGAGAGGAGTATTCATATGAACTTTTCCGATTTTCTAGGAGATGTAGTCGGACCAAAGGTTCGGTAAATTTCCGGATTATCAAATAAAAAAGAAAAAAAACACAGAGTCGACGAGGATTGCATTGAATATGAATTTTTACAATATTAATATTTCATTTGTAAATTAGAGAATATTTATCTGCTTATAATTTCTTTAACGAACTAATATATGTAAGGTTAAGTATTTCTTTGACAAGAATTCAGAATCCAAATTCCGGTTTTTTCTTTTCTTTTTTTTTTGTTAAACTTTTAGTTTTCTCAGGACCACGCTTTGTTGGCCGTTTCCTTGGGTCTCTAATAAAATAATATTCTCTGCACCTGTATTCTTCACTACACTTGTCTGACCGTGTAAAACGTGACCACCTGCCTTGTGGTTTGCTGATATTACATATGCGCCCTCGTACACAAGTTGTTATTACGAAATGGCCACTGTCCGGCTCAGGCCCCCCGGGGATTTAAATGGGACGCCGCCCAAAAACCTAACAGAACCTTAGAGATCAACGACCCGACCCGACCCGAGAGCCATGAGCCATTCATCCAGTCCCCACAAAGGAAGGAGGCGAACAACATGTCATACTTTCTTGCAAAACCTAACCTGTTTGTTTCCCGAGAAAACCAAAGAAAAGAAAATGAGAGTCGAGAAGAAGAAGATTTCCCAACACAACCACAACTAATTTGCAACTGTATGGGCTTGACAATGGTGTTCTAAAAAAAAACCTAAAAGCATATGAACATGTGTATAGTATAACTAAGGCAGTACTTCTAAACAGACCTTCAGAGCTGAAGATCAATGTCAACAAAGTTAAACAGAGAGAGAGCCCCCATTCGTCACTGAAATTTGATACAGCAAAAAAAAGGGTAGAAGAAAGACAGCTTTTATCTATCGCCTCCTCATTCCATGGCCACGACCACGGCCTCTGCCCATCGCACTAGCAGCTGCTTCTCCTTGTGCGCTCTCCAACTGCGTTTTCAATTTAAAAACAAAAAACGAAATTTCACACCGTTGTAAGAACAGGACAGGCTAAAACCACATCTATTACCTTAGGGTTTTTCACAGTTTCATCCACGCTTAAAATGAGGCAAGCTGCTTCAGTAGCAGCGTTTATTGCGTTAATCTGCACCAAAAAGAAGTTTCATGACTCATGAGAAAAAAAAAAAAGAACACGACAACAAGTGAAATGATAACCCATTCATTCTTCAATGGATATCACAAGGCTCAGAATCAACTACAAAAGAAGACATTATCAGTTAGGATACTTCAGACAAATATTATATCATCTACATAGAGCACAAGG